AGCTTCCGGACACATCTTCAAAGGATGGACTGCACGCCTGGGGCCTCATTACCAGGGCGGAGCCGCCAGGAGACCACGGTGCCCCCAGTGGCCTTGCCCACCGCGCCCCCGCCCACCCCGGCCCTGGGAAAGGCCACCGCGCTGTGGGGCAGCAGCCGCTCCTTTGAACGTGGGAGGAGGCCCGGCCCCTCGGGGAGGAAGTGTGTGGGTGACAGCCCTGGGCCAACACCGGCAGTGGCCGAAACCCCCGGGAGGTAGGAAAGAGCCTCTTAGGCTTCTGGGCACGATTCATCTTCCTACCCACGTGGAGAATGTATACCTGCGAGGAGGGAGCAAACTCAGGACGCAGACAGAAAGCCTAAGAACCGGGGAGTCTTTTCAGCGGGACGCTGTTGGGAAAGAGAGGTGAGAGAAGGCCACTGGTGGAAAAGATGTTCAGCGTCATGACCATCTCTGGGAGGCGGATGCCCTGTCTTCACCGCCTCTGGGTCCTCCCCCTGGGTTCCCCCTGCTCCATGGACAGAGTTGTCAGGTTCAATTACTTGTTGAGACTGAGGCCGGCCGGGCTGGGACAGGCTCTACCTGCACTGTTCGCAGTGGGGGACAGGGTCCACTTCGGGACTCAGAGGACGGAGGCGGTGCGAAGCAGCCCCCTGGAGAAGTGACACTTTGCAGCCCCGGACGAGCTAAGCCAGGAGATCGGGAGCAGGTGACCCCAATTACAGAAGCCTTGGGCATTCCTCAAGAAAGCGACGGGCAAGACCGGTGCTTTTCGGTCCTTGCCTGCAACGCTTGCCCACTCACACGCTGCATGTTCAATGTGTGCGTTGTATAGACACATCTTACTTATTCATCTTCTCAGCGTAATGTTGGAATATAAGCACTTGTCTTATTTTGCATGTACTGTTTCTATTGCTTCAGAAAAGTCAAGGTAGAGATGTTACCTTCTACCTTCCTGTGTGACCTTGGGGAAGCCGCTCTACCTCTCTGGGCCTCATGCAAACTGAAAGGGTTAGATTGAACTATCTCTCCGTGTGATTCCCAGCCCCTTTGTCTGGATTAACTGTTTAGGGACGACAGTGGAATCAGGTGGGCAGAGGTGTGGAGGCAATCCCAGCTGCGCGGAAGGAGTGAGACTCATCAGACCAGGTTTCTGAATCATAACCAACACATATGGAACGCATACAGGTGCCTAGCACCATGATGGGCGCTTGGCATTCATTTGCCTCTTAAACCATCACCTTAAAAAACTAGAAGGTGATTAGTATTATAATAAGGGGCGGCAATGGTTCTCGAAGTGTGGTCTCCAGAGCGACAGCATCAACATCCCTCGGGAACGTGTTGGAAATGCAGTTTCTCAAGTTCACCCCAGACCAGCGGAGGCAGAAACCCTGAGGGTGGGGCCCAGCCACCTGTGTCTAACAGGTCCTCCAGGCAGCTTTGAGAACAGCTGGAGTATAAGGAGAGGTGTATCTTAACACCTGCCACCAGAATTCCTCTTGCAGAAAAAATAAAAATCTTTACTTGAAAAAACACATTAAGGAGTTTTGGGGATAAAAGATGAACCCCCCAAGTACTTTGATGTTGGCTGGCAAGGCAGGAGAGGGAGAGAGAGGAGGAGAGGCTGAAGTTCCCAGGACAGTCATGGCAGGAAGCGGTGAGAGGCCAGGGGGACAGGGGCTGGGAGGACAGGCACCAGGGAGGTGCTAAGAGGCTGTGCACTGGGATGCAGTCCCACCCCATGGTCCCCAAGACATCTGGCAGCAAAGCCCACTATACACAGTAAAGGAGAGCGGAGTGTTCAAAGCTGCAGCAGAGCAGGGTCCCAGCCAACATGCCCGAGCTGGGTCCATTTCACAGGGAAGAAGTGGGGGGCGGGAAAGGCCACTCCAGGGCGAGAGGGTGCACCCAGGTCTACCTGGACCCAAGGACTTTCCACTGTACCCCAGCCTCTCTGAGGCCAACGCAAACTATCGAACACACGCATTTAATAGAAAAATGGGAGGCTTAGAAAGGAAAGTGATGCAGATAAAGCCAAGAACATGGGGTGGGGGGGACAAGAAAGAAATACCAGTGAGCGTTTGGGGCCAAAGAGGTCTAGGATGAAGGACCCATTTAAACAAACAAAGGGCAGATAGGATGCATGTCAGGTTCCGGCCCCAGACGGCCCCCTTCTTCCCACTGTTTGAAAAAACAGAAAAATGACCCCACGGAAAAGACCTGCGAAAACCGAATTTAGGTAGTTCTACCGTCCAAACAGCCAGTTTGCCCACGTGCTCATACACGTAGAAACTTCCATCGGTTTCTATTTAGTGCCTGGTCATTAAATAAAAGCAGAAGAATCACCAGACATTGGAAGTTTTCCGACATTAAGAACAGAGACAAAACAAGCAAACAAACAAAACAATGAAGAGGAATTTAGGGGGGAACAAAAATAATGCAGACTCTAAAATGATCTGTTAAGACATCTATGCACATATTTTTTATAACCTCGGAGAGAAGTATAGCAGTTACATCCTTGAAACAAGAACCGGGTGTTATAAAAGAGGAACAGAACATAAGAACAGAGCTCTTCGGAGTTAAATATATGACAGCTGCAATTAAAAACGTAGTACAGATGTTTGAAATGGAAGGAGGAGTGGGGACGCCAGGACCAAGAATAGTCAAAAGTACAACGTGGGAACCAGGTCGTACAAAGGTCTCCGCCAGAGCTGCCCTGAGCACCCAAACTCCCAGCTGTCTTGCCAAAAGCACCCTCAACCCCGACTGCACCTTGGAACCACGTGGGGAGCTTTTAAAAGCCCCAACACCAGGCCATAATCCAGACCAACTAAAGTCAAGATTTCAGGATTTCAGACCAGTCATCCATATACTTTAAAGTTCTCCAGGTCCTTCCAATGTGCAGCCAGGACTGAGGACCTCTGGCCAAATGCAAACAGCTTTACAGTTCAAAAACACAAGCAAATAACATAGATAGTCATTCAAGGCAGGACCTGGCTAGCTCCATCTTGGAGGGCGTTAGTGTGGATTTGAAAGGGGCTTGTATGACAAAGAACATGGTAAAGAGGAAGACTGTGTCTTGTGTAAAACAGTGAGCACAGGCCCCTGTGTTATACAGAGTGTGCATTACCGCTTGCTGGCTGTAGCTCCTCCCGCCGGCTTTGCTCTAAGTCAGAATTGGCTAAAAAGTCATGTAACTACTGATTCACGTTAGCTGGCCCGGTGTGCCCTGGACATTGCCGCTTAGAAGGAGACCTCAGACATGAAACCTAAGCAGGCCGAGATGGATGCCCACCGCCAGAGCATCCAGGCATCCAGCTAGAATAACGACTCCACACACTGACCCATTTTCAAACGCTCAGCGTGAGCCTGGCGTAGCCGGAGGGACCTGACAACACAGTCAACACCACGATCTCATGTATGATGACGGAACTGAGCCCCGCCCCTGCTGAAGGTCTCCCAGGTAGTGGGTGGAGCCAAGCGGTGAGCTCGGGCCAGTCCGACCCACGTCAGGAGCCCACGTTCACCGTTCTAACGCCCTGGCCCCTCCGGCTGGCCTCCTCCCACCACTGAGTTAGGGAGGAAAAGAGGCAGAGAGCGGGCTCCTCCCTGTCCCACCCCCAGGCCCCCGTCTGACGAGGGTCAGTCCTGCCCAGGCACCTAACACGCCGACTGGCCGGGAAGGTGCTCAGTGGGGGGTGTTGAATGAACTGCATGATCCTGAGACCAGCACCCTCTTTGGGTGTCTGGGCCTCCGCTGAACTGGCCAAGGTGTCCACCAAGCCCGGAACAGAGGTGATGCCGAGCGGCAGGAAGGAGAGGGCTGGGAGAAGCCAAAGCCCCGGGCCTCCGTTCCCGGGGCGCTGGAAAGGGGAGGATTCTAACGCTGAATCAGGGCAAACTACACTGGGTGCCCCTAAGAAGTGAGGTCCTAGGGTGACCTAGCACCTTCCCCAATCTGTTTTCCACTCTGGACGTGGTTATGACTCTCAGCACTACCGAGGCTCCTTAGCATGTGTTCTTGGCATCTTCAAAAGAGCCCACGGCCATCTGGGGGCAACCTGCCTTCCTTCCCATTTTGGAAAGTCTCACCATCATCCTTCCGCATTTCCCATCGGAACGTGGTGTGTGCCGTTGTCTGTTTGGGGTGGGGCGGGGTGAAGGCAACATTCTGGACACAAGTGAGAGCCTTTGGGTCAAGATGTGGGGGAGCCCCCGCTTTTATGCTGAGATGCCTTGGTACCCAAAAGCCCCTGTGCCTTATCAGGTGTCAAGGTCACAGCAGCACGTGATGAGCCTCCTCAGGACAAGTGTCTTGGGGTTGTGAGTGGACATCACGACAGCCTCACTCTCGTGTCTCCTGCTTCTGATGGAGTGTGGGTTTCAGGGGGGTCACTGGAAGGGGAGGCTGAGTGAAAAGGGCTGCCGTGGAAGAGTGGGGTTGGTGTACACACACCCCTAAAAGCACGCTGATGCGGGACTTCACGAGGCTGCTCCTTGAGAGCCACAGACATGAGCTAATAAAGTGGCCCCAAGGTGCTTCCCATTGCGCTGGCCCCAGGGGTATCCATCCTCCAGGACCCCAAGGTGACCATGTATACTGAATGGTAGGAGGGGCTTGGTAATATCTGCCACCACGTGGGACCCTTGGAGAAAGGTCTTCATCAGGAAAGCTTAGCAAAAGCCCCACTGCAGACCTCTCTACCCACCCCGGAAAGGAGCGTAGGGACCCCCGTCGTCCCCAGCATCGTACATGGTCAAACATCCCCCATTCATCTGCCCAGGGGTCACCGTCTCATCCAGCAGAGACACACACCGACAATCCTGAACGGTGCTGCTTAGGCATCGCGAGCCAGAGCAAATGCGCTTTATTGTTCCAAAGCCCTGCACTGCGTTTCAGAACCTCCTGAGACAGCACCCAGAAGGAAATCTTGGCCCAAGAGGCAGCCTGAGAACAGAGGCCTCGCCCCCTTTGAAATGATGAGGAGCTGCAGCCGTCGGGCGCGGCCAGCCTTAGTGACAGGGTCTGAGAAACCTTATGGCCTGTGTTTGCCGTGAGGCCCCTCGGGGCCAGGCCCTGGGCTCTGCACAAAGAGAAGGGATCGGGCTTTAGGGTTAGGGTTCAGGAGTGGCCAAGTCCAAGCCCTGGAGACAATGGCCTTGACTTTCTGGGCCAGTCCCTCTCAGAACCGGCCTCCTGGGCAGGGCGCACAGAGGGGGCGGGGGCTGCAGGTGGCGCGGGCTGTGGCGGGGCCACAGGAGGCTGCAGGGAGACAGGGGAGGCACGACTTGGAGGGCGAGGGCTCAGGAGCACATGGGTTACAGGGGAGCCTAAGGGAAAGAAAAAGATCCGATCAGTATGTTTCTCCAGCTGCTGTTTTTAATAACTCAGATCACCCTAAAAACCGCTTAGTCCTGCCCCCCTCGTTTCACCAAAAGGAAAACAAGAGGCGCAGGGAGACAGAGGACTTGCCAGGGTCATGTGCTGAGTTTGTAATAAGACCAGAACTAAAACCCAAGGCTCCTGACGCCGAAGGCTGGGCTCTTCCCAGGCCCTGTGCTGCCTCCCAGAACTGTGTAGGTTGCACCCAGGAGATGGGAGCGTGCAGTGACACTCACTTGCAGTCCTCGCTCTCCAGCAGGCCCCGGTACGTGGCGATCTCGCCCTCCAGCCGGGCCCGCACGTCCAGCAGCACCTGGTACTCCTGGTTCTGCCGCTCCAGGTCAGCCCGGATCTCGGCCAGCTGGGACTCCACGTTGGTGATCATGCACTGCATCTGGGTCAGCTGGGCGCTGTAGCGGGCCTCTGTCTCCGCCAGGGTGGATTCCAAAGCATCTCTCTGTAAAAGCAAGGATTGCATAGAGAAGAAGGAGTTTGGAGATCGGAGGAGGAGCAAGGAAGATGCACCTCATCCATCTGAGTCTCCGTGTAGCCTCAGAATCCAAGAGCAGAAGCTTGGAGAATCACTTTCATCGAGAATGAACCACAGTCAGACTTCTTGCTTGAGAGCCCCCGTAGCCATCTTGGTCTCGAGAGTGTAAGTCCATGGATAATATCTCTGAATAACTCAGAAAGAATCTGCTCCCACAAATATGGGAGCAGCTGCCCGGACATGCCAGCTGCTACAGGCCTCCTGTCTTTCACCACTGGGACATTTGTGAATGGGGGCTGGGCCCTCATTCCATCTTCTCTGCACAGAAAATCTCAGGTGCTCGAGAACTTGAACCACTAGGGCCTGCCTGTGTGGTCAGAACATGGAAGTCGGGGGTTTCGTGTGCAGCTAGGCCTGGTCCCCAGCAGCCTCAGGACTCACCATGCTGTGCTGGGCCTGCAGCTCGATCTCCAGGGCGTTGACCGTGCGTCTCAGCTCGATGATCTCTGCCTGGCAGGTCTGCAGCTGCTCCGAGCTGGACACCACCTGCTGGTTCAGCTCCTCCGTCTGAAACGTACACGCCCAGGCCCTGGTCAGGACGACTGAGGACACAGCGTCAGAGGTCTGACAGAGGCCACTGAGGGCCCTGAGCCCAGAAGGACCTTCCAGATCACCCAAACCATTCATTTTACACTCGAGGGCTTTGTGGCTTAGAGGACAGCAACCTGCCCACGATGCCTGGTGAGGTGGAAACGGAGCTGGGACTCAAACACAGGTTGCCTGACCCAGGGCTGCAAGCTGGCTCCTGCGTGGCCCGAGGCGTGTCTCCGTTGCACGGACCGTTCCCCGGTGCCCACCTGGGTGTTGAACCAGTCTTCGGCGTCCCGGCGGTTATTCTCCACCAGGGTCTCGTACTGGCACCTCATCTCCTCCAGGACCCGATTGAGGTCAACGGGCGGGGCGGCGTCCACCTCGACGTTGAGCCGGTCCCCAAGCTGGCAACGCAGCGTGTTCACTTCCTGTGGCACAGACCGGGGTCAGCGCCAACTTTCCCAGCCGGCTGCCTCATTCGCCCTCCTGCCCCACACCTACCTGCTCCCTGGGCTCACCTCCTGCCCCACACTCACTTACCTCCTCGTGGTTCTTCTTGAGGCAGAGCAGCTCCTCCTTGAGGGACTCCACCTGGGCCTCCAGGTCGGACTTGCACAGGGTCAGATCGTCCAGGATCCTGCGCAGGCTGTTCATGTCCGACTCCACCAGCTGCCGCATGGATACCTCCATCTCATACCTGGCAGGCACATACAGGGCCCTTGAAGCCACACGCCCTTTGTGTATCTGAGTCAGATCCCACCCCAGACGGGCCCGGTGCTGTGTGTCCACCCTGATGCCTCAGGGACTTGATGAAGCCGAAACCCCGAGTCTAGACATCGACGGTGTCCAGCTCCGCCAGACCCCAACCAAGAGGCGAGCGGGACACTCACTTGGTCCTGAAATCGTCCGCGGCCAGCTTGGCATTGTCGATCTCGACCACCAGCCGGGCGTTCTCCGCCTTGGTGCACAGAGTCTGGAGGAGGGAAAGTGACTTCAGAGAAGGAAAGGACAGTCTGAGGGTGGGGTGCCCCCAAGCTGGATGCGCTCCCTTTGGACAAAGGGCAGCACCCGTCCGTCCCTGGGCTCTCAGTGGCTGAGCCTCCATGAGGACTTCTGGGCCTGCTGCCTGGGTCCCTCCCAGCACATCTGTGACCTGAACCTGAAACAGAGTGGGGGGAGGGGTGCGGAGACGCTGCGGGAAAGACCCGGCGCGGTGGCTTCCTCTTGTCTTCCTTCTGCCCAGGCCACTGGGGTCTCTGGGCAGGTTATTACCAAGGGCATGCTCTGAGATTCCTTGGTCATAAATGGCCCTTCTCAGCAGGCAGCTGAGACCTTTAGGGGATGGGGGCCGGGCAAGAAGGAAACTTCAGACAGGCTTTTCCTTTCCTGGACCAGGTATAGGAAACCTGACCTGCACCAAACTCATCAAATTCAATCCCCTTACCTTGAAGGAGGAGGAGGGAGTGGGCGGAGAAGAGTCGGGCTACGGTACCAAAGGTGACACAATCAATTAGTTCATAGAGCCTACGTTCATGTTCTGGCTCCACACTCCACCAGCTGGACCACTTTAGACAAGTCACTGAACCAGCCTGTGCCTCAGTGTTCTCATCCGTTAAATGGGCTGGCGATGCCTCCCCCATAAGATTACTGGGAGGAGCAGCAAACAAGGCCACAGTGTGAACATGCCCTGTGACCCCTGCAGTGCCCCCTGGGAGCAGGGCCACCGCCACAGGTGTCCTGGCTTCCAGCCCAGTGCAGGTGGCACCAGCCCCCCAAGCAGCCGACGCCACTCAAATCCCCTCACCTTCTTCTGCAGCTCCTCGATGGTCCGGAAGTAAGACTGGTAGTCGGGGCATAGGTAGGGCTCCTGCTGCTCACACCACTCGCGGATGCGGCTCTCCAGGCTGGCGTTCTCCTGCTCCAGCTGCCGCACCTTCTCCAGGTAGCTGGCCAGGCGGTCGTTCAGGAACTGCATGGTCTCCTTCTCGCTGCCGGTGAGGATGCCCTCCCCAAACCAGCCCCCACTGACACTGTAGCTGGTGACAAAGCCTCCAGATGGGAGCCAGAGAGTGGGGAGGCAGCTGGCAGCCCTGCGGCTGCTCCTGCCCAGCCCCGCGGAGCAGGTGGAGAAGCTCCGGGCCCCCCGGGGGAGGCCCAGGAGCCTGCAAGAGCTGCTGGAGTACACGGTGGACACACGTGCGGAGCCCCCGTAGCCCCCTCCCGGGCCCTTGAGAGACCCTGAGGAAAAGCTGGCCTTGAGGCATTTGGAAGCCATGACCTCAGCAGCCAGGACACAAGGGACAGACCTTCAAGGCCAGCTACCCCCCGATGCAGAGACGCGGCTCCTCACACGGGTTTATATCTCTGCCCCAGTGGGCGTCGGCCTTCGCCAGACAAAGTGCTTTCTCCTCGTAAAGTTAATACCACTTTCTATGATACCTCCTCGTTAACCTGTTATTTAGCTTCCCGTGAACACTTCCCGGCCTCGTAAAAAAGGAGCCCCGTTGGACTGGCGGCTACGTGGAGACGTGTCTCCGCCGCCCCGTGTTGCTGGAAAGACCAAGTCGCCGCCAGCCCTTCAAAGGGGCCTGTGATCAGGGCCCAGCCCTCGGCCTCCTCCTGAAGAGGCGTGGGCGTCCCGCCACGGCCTTGACTTTCTCCAGCATTGTCTTCTTTTATGGGCCCCGGGGAGTAGGGGAGGCCTCTGGGTTGGAAGAATAAGTCTGGTTGTTGCAGGGAAAGTGGGGCCTCCAGCCCAAGGAGGCACAGAGGCCCAGAGCCCTTTTGGGCTGTGGTCACCAACTATTACGGTTTCCCCAGGATTGTTCTGGATTCGGTGCCGAAAGCTTCATGTCCCTGGAAAATCCCTCAGGCCTGAGGGGCGTGGGGGGTTGGTTCCTGTGGTCGCCCTGGACCCAGCTCAGCCTCCATGGCCACATCCCGCCGTCTCCCTGGTCAGGAGGTCCGTTCCAGTCATGCAGCCTCAGCTTCAGCCAAAGTGACTCGAGCTCGGCTCCCTGGGGACCGGCCCACAGGCGCCTCCACCGATAGGAAGGTCTGTCTTCCCAGGCCCTGGCGGAGAGGTGGAGACGCCTTTCCTTCTAGCTGTCGGGGGCCGGGGGGCGTGTTCTTGGCTCCCCGGCCTCCTCAGAAGGTGCAGAGAGCCTGGCCTTCAGGGTTCTAGCTCTGCCACAGGAGTTTGCGGGACTAGTGCCGAGAAAGCTTGACAAGGGCGGGATATGGTCCCAGAAAACCCAACCTGCCCAGCAGGTGGGGCCTGGAAGAGGGGCTGAGCGCTGAGCCAGGGTCAGGCGTGGCTGCAGAGGGTGTCTCACCAGGTAGGCCAGCGGGCTCTGCCTTCTGTTCGGCCCTGCAGGCTGGGGTCCCGCTTACCCTTCCAGGGACACGTACTATTATTATCTGCTCCGTCCGGAGGAGGACTGTGAGCTGCGGGCCAGCGGCCTTCCAGGCGGGTGCTCAGCGCTTTCCCGTGGTGGTCTCACATTTAATCCTCACGTTGCCCTGGGAGCCCGCGCTTGTTTTCCCCATCTAGAAGCCGAGGCAGCCAAGACCACCACCCAGGGACAAGCAGAACCAAGATGCCAACCCGAGTCTAGCTTGGCCCTGTCCACTACACCACCAGCCTCCACCGCCGCTGCCCACCCCCATCCTGGGCTGCAGAGGGGGTCGGTCTCCGCGGAGAAAGGAAAGGACAGGATGGGGTGGGCTCCCCAGGGCGATGGCCGGCAGCCCCTGGCGTCCCAGGAGAGGGAGCACAGCATCGTGGTTACCTGCGACCTCTGTGGGTTTGAATCCCAGCCCCGCCACGTAGGGACTATGTGGCTAAACTCCTCTCTCTCCTCCTCTCCCTCCTCCTCCTCCTCTCCCTTCTCCTCCTCCTCTCCCTCCTCCTCATCCTCCTCTCCCTTCTCCTCCTCCGTAACTGGGAAGAGGATAACAGTGCCTGCTCCCTAGGGCTGCTCTGAGGGTTGTGTGAGCACGGAGCCCCTAGAATGGCACCGAGCCATCCCGTGGTACAAGCTCAGTGAGGGAGGCTGCTGTGACTGCTCGTCCCCACACGGGTGGAGTCTTGTTGCACTCACACTGGTGAAATGAAACAGCTGTCGCCAGGGAGTGCGGAGAGTCTCTGAACACACAGGCCGCCACCCCACAGGCCAGGTGCGTGTGTCGGGGGCCCTCAGATACAGAGCTTCTGTGAGTCACCATGCCCTTCCCACGCCTCTGGGGGACTGGTGTGATCGGCATCTCTGCCCCCCATTGGCTGCCTCGGCCTTTCCTCCCTAGAAACCCATGCCCGGCGCAAGGAGGCAGCTGAGCTGGGAACCTGGCTGCACCTCCCTGGGTGTCTGTGCTTCCCGCCCAGGTGAGCCCAGGTCTCCACCCAAGCCCCGCAGCAGCCTGCAGCCACCCTAGAGCCCAGAGAACCTAGAGCCGTGGAGGCTGGGAAGCCACCGTCTGTTTATACAGCCCTGGGGTTCGCGTGGGTTCCCAGGCAGGGCCCCGCACCTGTGCTCCCCGGAAGGGATTCCTCTCCCCACACAGCCCTGGCAATAACAAGGCTGATGGCGCCAGACATCTGTGGTCGAGCACCTCAGCACCTGCCAGTCTCCACGCTGAGCTCTCTCCAGGCGTTTTCTCACCCGCTCCTTCCACCGTCTCATGAGAAGGGCATCGCCCATGCCCCCGTGTAATAGGGGAATAAACAGGCCTGGGATGTTCCGGGATCCTGCCCCCTGCTCAGCCCTGCTGTGCCCTGCCAGCTGCAGACACCCGCAGCACAGGCTGGGGGCTGAGCTGCTGGCCCTCCAGTCACTGGTCCCCTGAGATTGTCTCGTGTTTCAGCCCTGTCCTCCCAGGAAGACTGCAAGTTCCTCGGGGCGAGGACTGACCTGGTACTGCTTTCGAAACCTCTGCAGCGTCAAGCACAGTGCTGGGCTTCTAGATGTCTCAGCATGAATGAATGAATGAGTGAATGAATGTTTTGCTCATCGTGAATTGTACTAAGGCAGCAAAGAAAGGATTTCTAGAGGAAGGGAGGACTGAAAGGGAGGGAATGATGAAAGAAGGAGAAAAAATGTGGGTAGAGAACGGAGAGACAAAGATGCCTCCCAGGTCAGTCTTATCACCCTCACTCTCGTAGAGGAGGAAAGAGAGACTCAGTGATAAGAGGAGATTAGGCGTCTCCGTGTGGGCACGCGGCACCTGCTCGCACTAATCAGCCCCTTTGGCAGAGAACAAAGCGTTCTCTCGGCCCAAAGCCATTCTGCCCCAAGGGAGACCTCAGCGTGAAAGGTGCGGCTACAAGTTTTTGATGAGTTTTTTAGATTATTTTATAAGACATGTAAGTAATATTTTTAAAGCTATGAATTATCCTGTAAATTGTTCTGGTCTATTTCCATCCTTTCTTAGTATTCTTTCTAATAGAACAAAATAATTACCTAGAATTCCTCATCAGCACGAACTAACATTAGTGGCAAGTATTCTGATAACTTTCCCGGTAAGACTTTGCACTCTGCTCAGGTGGGGTCTGTGCTGCCCCCAGAACACCCCACAGATGCACCTGGCCATGTTCTCAGGTACCCTCTGCCCTCCTTCCTCCTGCTTCTGCCCGCCCATCAAGGTGCCCGTCGATTCTAACTGCCCCCTAAGCCTTCCCTGGCTGTCCCAGCTCTCAGTGCTCTCTGCCCCTCCCGAGGACCTGGCAGCCTGCCCTCTCCCACACCTGCCGGCCCTGGTGCCGTGGGGTCACGCGGGGGGAGGTCCGCAAACCTGGACCATTGGCCCCATGGGAACTGCGCCTCTTCTCTGCTAGTTGGCCAAGCTGCTTCTCCTCGCCTGCCTCTCCCTAGGGAGCCCCTGCCTCGGCGCTGGGTTTTCCACGCATGGAGTGTCCGGTGCACATCTGCTGATTAAAGTCTGCCGCTCGCTCGCTGGGTTAATGTCTGGTCCACACGCGTGTTCAGTTCTGGCACACACGCTGGTTGGTGATTTAAACTGGAACTCCGTCGAGGGTGTGTGTGAGGTTGAGAGTAGGAAGGGGGGGTGGTTCCTTAACCAACACAGGTGCTCTAAACAGTGTAACGGAAGGCTGGACAAAGCTCCATAGATACGGCGCCTGTGAGCGTGCATGAGATGAGTGCACACTCTGTAAACTGCACAGTGAGTGCAGAAAGAGACAGCCTGCATGGTGCGAGGAGGTGACAGTGTGATCATCTGTTGGGTCACAACCCCGAGTGGTCCGTCTGCCTGCTCGGACACACTACCCAGGCAGCTCGAGCTGCAGCTGTAACAGAAGGCTCAGCCCACTCCCCAGTCCCTGGCTGCTCCCACGTACCAGCAAACCAAATGGGGGTGACGCCCTCTGCATGCCCAGCTGCCTGCCTGTCATCTCCTGAGCCTCGGGCACGAGCCAGGAACTGCAGACCGCAGGCCCCAGAGCAGGAGCAGGGCAGCAGGAGAGTGAGACCTGGTGGAACGGCCCTCCTGCCCCCAGGCCAAGCAGCCCCTCTGAGGCCCCGGCCTTCAGCTTCAGCACCCACCCCCGAGGGTGATGCTGGCCAACAGTGCAGGCCCCACCCTCGCCCTGCCAGGTACCCAAGCACAGAACTCAGGCCCACGGGGTGGGGGTCCCACTCTCCACATGCCACCCAGGAGCTCTTCATTTAACACAAGTTCATGGCTACTTCCTGGGTGCTGTGCACCCTTGAGCCTCCTGCAGCCCCACTGGGTGCCCACTGCCAGATGCAGGGCCAGGCTCAGCACAGGGTGCTCCCGTCTGCCCATGCGCACCTCCCCCTGAGGTCCGAGAGGTGCCTGCTGCACCTCTGGTTGAGCACCACCTTCCCGGTGCCATCAGTCATGGCCACCTCTTGCCCACAGAGGTCTAGGGCTCGCGTGAGACTCCAGAGGCAGAAAAAGAAAAGACAGACGCAGACACAGAGCCAGACACGCAGAGAGGGCTGGGAACCCGTGTGCTGGGAAGAGCAGTGGAGGTGGAGTCTGCGTAGCTCGGCCAGGGCCTGCCGCCCTCACCGCTGTGTGGCCCGGGGGAGTCGCTGCCCTCTCTGGGCCTGTGAGGAGGGAGGCCGAGAGGCGTGAGGGCCTCGGACTCCTCACAGGCCACGCCCCTCTGACCAGAGGTGGGCAGGGCCTGGCACGGTTAGGCTCAATGCCCAGGGGGGCACGGCTTCCGCTGCAGAATCCGGGGCACTCTGAACTCTGCCCCCTTGTGAGCCTCTGCATCTGACCCCTCCCCCACTTCACTGTCCCCACCACCCCCTTTCACTTCCACTTTGCTCCCAGTGTTGGGGACATGGCTTCACCTCCCACCTTCATCCCCCCAAGGTCGCCCCGACGCCCCTCCCTGAGGTGGTTGGCCCAGGCTGGCAGCCTGGCGTTTGCCCCGCTCTGGCTGGTCCTGGAACCCCCTCTTCGGGACTGTCCCGGGGTCAGGTGTGAGGGCGGGTGAGCGGGGTAAAGAGAGCTGGACGAGGGAGAAGCTGAAGGGCAGGGAGACCGAAGCACCAGATCCAGGCAGGGCCTCTGAGGAGGACTGGCCTGGGAGCCCTTGCCTCTTCTGGGGTCACCCCAGGCGGGTGTCCACAGGCACGGCCACCAAGCCTGAGGGCTATGACTGGCACCCACTGGGGCTGGCTCAGTGTCTGATCTGGTGGAGCAGGGCCTGAGGTACCCCCATTACTAAATATGTTTGACCACCCCGTCATTCCGTATCCCCCAGCGCCCGAGAAGGCAGAGCCGAAACCAAAACCCAGGGCTTCAGTGCAGCCGCTTCCCCAACACCCCCACTTGCCGACCCCGTGAGAACAGACGGACTCCCGTTTGCTATGCCAGAAGAACGCTTTATTGGGTGACTCTCCAGGGGAAGCTACTTTGCATGCATAAAAGCAGTGAAACTCAGAAACACCATGTAAGAAGTATTCTGGTAGAAAAACCTGCTCGGCGGGGAGCCCCTCCAGGGAAGCGGGGTCGTTGGGAGCTGGGGGCCACAGGGGCGTCCTCCCTCCTGCGGGCCCAGGTGCATGCGCCCTGGCGGGCCGCGTGGCCGGCTACAGCTGGCAGGACTTCATGTGCTCCCTGGAGGACATGCCTTTCCCGTCTCTGATCTCGTCCTTGGCGCTGCGGATCTGGGTGCTGCTGACCTGGGGAGCCGGGCCGCAGGTCATGCTCGAGGTGTAAGGAACCCTAGCGGCGGGCTTGCATTCCGTGGCGCAGGGGTGGGCAGGAAGCCTGAGGAGAGGAGATCATTTCAGGGTGTGTGCGTGCAGCACCAGGGCATCGCGCTGACATCGTGTTAAACGGGTCGAGGGGACCGAATGTGAGACAGGTGGGGGATGATGACAAGGGCCTCAGACTGTGCCTGTCATGTCCCCAAGGGCTACAGGGATGAGGACTAGGGACTCCCAGCTAAAACAATCTTTGGACTGGCCTGTCCCCCTGTGAATGACCGAAGTCCAGGGCTGGAAGGAATCTGTCTCGAGAGGCTGTGGATCAGTCCCCTGCACCTGTGTAACAGCCACTTTGGGGCTGACGCCGCCAGCACGGCACTGAGTGGCGAGCCCTTTCCCCGAGCCTGGCTCCCCAGGGCCGGGCCACTCACTTGCAGTCCTCACTCTCCAGCAGGCGGCGGTAGGTGGCGATCTCCGATTCCAGCCGGGCCTTGACGTCCAGGAGGACCTGGTACTCCTGGTTCTGCCGCTCCAGGTCGCAGCGGATCTCCGCCAGCTGGTTCTCCACGTTGCTGATCATGCACTGCATCTGGGCCAGCTGGGAGCCGTAGCGGGCCTCGGTCTCCGCCAGGGTGGACTCCAGGGAGTTCCGCTGCCGCGGGAAAGAGGGTGAGCTGCCAGTGGGACGGCACCCCGCCCACCCCGCCCAGAAGCCCGCAGCCCTGGGATACTGCACGTCCCCATGATCGCACCCCGTGGGGGTCCAAGTGCTGAGGCTGGAGGGTCAGGGAGCCTGCCTGCCACCAGTGGTGGCCGGCCCCTCCGGCAGGGGCCACTCACCATGCTGTGCTGGGCCTGCAGCTCGATCTCCAGGGCGTTGACGTTACGTCTCAGCTCGATGATCTCCGTCTGGCAGCACTGCAGCTGCTCGGAGCTGGACACCACCTGCTGGCTCAGCTCCTGGGTCTGAGAAACAGGCAAGTGCCCAGAGCACGGTCAGACCAAGGGAAGCGACGGTGAAGGGCAACCCCACCCCAGGAGCTGGCCGCGCTGGGCTGCCCCCAGCCCACCTGGGTGTTGAACCAGGCCTCCACGTCTCTGCGGTTATTCTCCACCAGGGCCTCATACTGGCACCGCATCTCCTCCAGGACCTTGTTGAGATCCACTGGGGGGGCGGCGTCCACCTCCACGTTCAGCCGGTCCCCGAGCTGGCACCGGAGTGTGCCGACTTCCTGCAGACAGCAGACAAGAAGGCGTAAGGTGCAAAAAGGGTGCTGGATGGGGTTGCAGGTGAGCTGCACGCAAACCTTCCTCCCTCGGTTGCCAGCTGTGTGACACTAAATAGGACACTGAACCTCTCTGGGCCTCAGTCTCCTCGTGGACGTGTGCTTCCCTCCTCAGGGGGAGGGGGGAGGACGCAAGTGCCAGGTGAACGGAATTGTTAGCAGGCACTACAGCTCAAATGGAGATTTAGTGTCGTGGGCAGGAGTGTGGGATCTGTGTGACCTCAGGCAAGTGATTTAACCTCTCTGTGCCTCAGTCTTCTTGTCTGTAGAATGAAGCTCGTCATTAGTACACCCCTCCTGGGATTGGTGTGAGGATGAAATGAAGTGCAAAGTGCGTCACATAGTTCCTGGCACCAGTAAGCCATAAACAAATGTCAGCTGGAGTTCCTGAGGAGGTGGTGGTCCCACTGTCTTGCCCAAGACTCCCTGCTGGACGGGAAACACTGGGAGGTTGCGTGGCACCAGCCCTACCTCCTCATGGTTCTTCTTGAGGCAGAGAAGCTCCTCCTTGAGGGACTCCACCTGGGCCTCCAGGTCGGCCCTGCACAGGGTCAGCTCGTCCAGCATCCTGCGCAGGCCGTTGGTGTCGGCCTCCACCAGCTGCCGCAGGCCCAGCTCCGTCTCGTACCTGCGCACACAGAATCCTGCCGAGTCTGCGACAGAGGGGCCACGCACAGGGAGGGCCCCCAGCCCTGCCATCCAGCTGCAGTGGCTGATATGGGGTCAGCAGCACAGAGGTCCTTTCCCTTGACCCAGAAGGGATCCAAAGCCAATGCCGCATTTTCCACCTGCAGCTTCCTCTGGCCCCACGGCCACCTCCCCAGCTCCCAAGGGCAGGGGACAGAAGCAAGGGAATCGCACAGAAACCTCCCCAACCAGGTCTACTCACTTGGTCCGAAAGTCGTCGGTAGCCAGCTTGGCGTTGTCAATTTGCAGGATCAGCCTGGCATTCTCAGCCTTGGTCATCAGGATCTGGGGAGCAAGGGATACCCCATGAGCTGGAGAAGACCCAGCAGCGTAGGGGTGGCTGGGATGGGGTAGCCCAGCTCACACCTCTGAGTGCCACCAGCACCTTCGGCGTCTCCAACCCTGAGCCCCGAGCCCAGGTGTGGAGGGAGTGTCAGTGGCCATGGGTCCTGACGTCTGTAGCTCCCAGAGCGGCCCCGTGGGAAGCACCAGGGTGACTGGAGAGAACTGGGCCGAGCTGGGGTCGGGTTCTGCATCCAGCACCGGCAGGCTGTGCAATCTTGGGCAAGTGGCTGAGCCTCCCTAAAATCCAGCCTCCTCATCTCTTAAATGGGTCCAGGAATGCCCGTCTCTCTGAGATGAGGAGTAAGTAAGCCAAGGAGAGGAGCATGTCAGGCATAGCTCTTATGTCCAAAAGGGGCTCGATGCATGTTATTGACCTTCATGTAGCCGAGACAGCGGGGGGAGGGGCGGAAGGGCTGGCTGCAGGTTACCAGCCCGGAGAGGTCTGGGGCCCCCAGGACATCAAGACCCCAAAGAGGGAGATACGAGAATTCCCTCAGGGCTATAGCTGCATCTGCAGTCCCTTGAGGGAAGACGGCCCCCTCCAGGGGCTGGGCCGCCTGGCTAGACAGGGGCCAGGCCCCCGTTACCTTCTGCTGCAGCTCCTCGATGGTCTTGAAGTAGGACTGGTAGTCCGGGCAGATGTACGGGATCTGGGACTCGTACCACTCGCGGATGCGGCACTCCAGCTCTGCGTTCTCCCGCTCCAGCTGCCGCACCTTCTCCAGGTAGTTGGCCAGGCGGTCGTTCAGGAACTGCATGGTCTCCTTCTCGCTGCCGTTGAAGGAGCCCTCGCAGAACCAGGCCCCACTCCCAGCAAAGCCAGAGGGCTGGCACCCAGAAGACAGGTAGGAGCAGCTCCCGGGGCTGGAGAAGCCCATCCTGGTGGAGGAGGCAGCCCCCGCAGCACCGGCAAGACTGGGAGTCCTGCAGGAGCCCATGGAGCAGGCGGAGGACACCCGCGAAGCGCTGGCCGCCGAGCCACAGAGGCCCTTGACAGACCCAGAAGAGAAGATCGGGGAGCAGGTCTGGGTGGCCATGATGCCAGCAAGGAAGGTCGCAGCTTAGCCAAGAGCTGGGGCGCTGTGCTCTCCAGGCCTTTCCGGGGTGCTTATATACCCACTTCGTGGGGTGTTGTCCTGTTACTCTTGGGAAAGCCTAATTCCTAGCCGGGAAAGCTAATCTCATTAGAACACGGTTTTTGCTGCCCATCTAGAATTCCCCGCCTTGTAAAGAAAAAGAAAAAAAATGGTCCAATTTGGTTTGCTAAGTCAGGACTCTCCGCTGTTGCCTCTTCGTGACAGGATATGAATTTTATTGCCTCTTCAAAGACTTCGCACCAGATCCTATAAACTGGGAGTGGCCTCACAGATGACATGGGGTTCCTGCCCTGCTGGCGTGTCTTCCCTTAAGGAGCCCGATCTGTCGTCCATTTGTCACCATCAGCCCTGACCCCACCCTCACAGCTGCCACCCTGGGTCCAGGCCCCAGGGATGGTGAAAAAGGAGCAAAGCAAGCTAACATTCCTGGAGCATCTATTATGTGTAGAGTTATTTCATTTACGCCTCACGACAGTCCCGGAAAGCGGCCAATATTGTCTCCATCTTACCAGGGTAGACACTGAGGCTCAGAATGGTTAGGAAATAAATACATAAAGGCTTGCTTTGGGTAAACAGGCAGTGAGTAAAGAGCCTGGAGCTACAACTGGGGCTCTCGGGCCCCAAATCCCACATTCTCATCCCCCACACAACCAAGGTCAAGTGCCACCACTCAAGAGACCGAAGCTCAAAACCTCGCTCTGCTGCTGACCTGCAGAACACGTCCCCGCCTGTCTGGCCTCCTCCGTGTCTTCGTCATGTCCATGGAGATCGCCAACCTGCCCCGCCTACTTCACACTGATCAAACGTCAGGAGTCAAAGTGTTTTGAAAACCACTTGGGTGCTATGGAGATGTTGGTTAGGCTAAGCAAACAGTCTCCATTGGTCCTTTGCGGCTGTGGCCAGCAAAGGATCATGGGAGTGAGCCTGAAAATGGAGCTGCTTTGGAGAGCAGTCCTCTCTGTGGCCCCCAATTCTCCAAACCTAGGAGGGTAGAATCAGGACCCCAAGACAGCCTGCTCTGCCCGCCCCACCCCACCCCCAGTCCCTGAACTGCGTACAGAAACGGTTGATGAAGCCTCTTTGGATAGGAAAGGAATAAGAACAAACAAAGCTCCGCCAGACAGATAAGCAAGCCAGAAGGAGCGCCTGAGAATTAAGGAGCAAAGGTGAGTGCGGGACCCTGCCTCCCCACGCGGGCTCTCCCAAGGCGTGGGCCACCCGTCCCTCCTCTCCCACACAGACTTGCTTCGCAAGGCTGGAATTTATGGAAGCATTTATGTGCTTCTGGAGTTGTAATTTACCAACCTCTTAAAACGCTTTATAAGCTTCTCTCTGAAATTACTCAGGAGGTGCCCAGCACCTCCCCCGGTGCAGTGGACGCCTGGACAGGATGCCCGAGAGCTGCCTGGTGAGCTCCTCCTGGGAGCCAGGGCCCCGGCTGCCCCGGCCACGGTGCTTCTCGGCGGCCCCTCTGCCCAGCTCGGCTGCTGGGGCCTTGGGCGGGGCCGTCCCAGGGTTTCACAGCCTTGACCCCATTGACAAACAGACCACATAGTTCTCTTATGGGGGCTTCTTGTGCATCGTAAAATGTTGGCAGCACCCCCGACTCTGCGACCAGGTGCCAGTAACGATCCCGTCCCCTACTGGTGACAACCAAAAATGTCACTAGGCATTGCCAAATATCCCCTGGGGGGCACACCGCCCTCAGTGGAGACCCACTGGACTGTGAGGACAGGGACCGGGGCTCTCACCGGGCCTCCTCTAAGCACCCCCTTTGTGTTCTAGGACAACAGTGCAGAGTCTCGCGGTCACTGCGGGGCCTTCTCGGTGCTCAGTGTGCCTCGGTTTACCTCATTTGCGACACAGCGGGCTCGCCCTGCAGGCAGCCTCTGCCACATAGATAGAGCCCAGCACAGCTCCTCTCTGGGCGGAGTCTCTGGCTGAAACTGGCATTCTCGTGTGTCTAACCCTTCCACTGCGAACCCCGTATCTGAAGCTGATTCCAGGTTTCCCTCAGGGCGGCTCACGAAGCAGACCCTGAGCTGCTCTGGCTGTTTTCCCGTCTCAGCCTCTGCTCAGGAGGGCCCCCGTGGGCCGGCGTCCATGCTCGTGTTCCCCAGGGCCGAGGAGAGGCGTGCACCCCTCCCGGGGCAGGCGACGAGCTGGCCAGAGCAGGTCTTTCCGTCGCTCTCGGTCCCCTGCCGTTCTCAACGTCACAGACTCCAAGGCCACTTGTTGGAGGCGAGTGTGGCAGGGGCCTCATGGGCTGGTGACAGACCAGGAGAACAGAACAGCTCTGTTCTCTTCCACGCAGAAGCGTGGACCATCGTGGGGTGAGGGAGGCCTGAGTGGAGCAGAGGCTCTACCCGTATCCACAGAGACAACCGGGACTCACCCCCCCCAGGACAGCACCAGGTGGCAGCCAGCCCCGCCCCTCACGGCGACCCAGCCCCGGAGAAAATCCACCTGCTCCGTGTTTGGCAAATCAAGGCTGCCCGTTCAATGGGTTCTGTGTCAAAATAGAGTCCTCTTCTGAGACCATTGCTTCCAACACTAATCAAAACCACACTGGGCTAAGGATCAGGGAACGGGACTCCAGTCCGAGCTCAGCCCCAAAGTCTCTGTGTGACCCACCTCCACTCCGAGGCCCAGGGTCCTGTCTGAACATGAAAGGCCTGGACACGGCGCACTTGCGGCCATCGCATCTCGGACGCTATCGGATCTGCGGCCCCGCATTTCCTGTGGAGAGAGCCGGAAGTCACCCGGGTGTGTCTGTGCCCTGTTCACCATCTCCCACAGTCGCCGTCCCTTCTCTGTCACTGACCCACAGAAGAAAGAGGCAATACGTCCCTTTCCAGGACGCAGTGGGGTTTTCCTTTCTGCGCAGACTGGCCTGGGCTTCTCCCTGGCTGTCCTCCGTAGGCAGGGGCAACATTGACCACCTCCCAAGGCTGCTCCCAGAAGACCCCATTCAGAGGCTCGGTGTCATTAGCTCTCTGCCCACTCACCCCTGGCTTCAGGGAGGTGCTGCTGCAGGAGCAGGAAACACCCCGGCTCTTCCCAAGCCCACCGTGGAAGGCCACCAAGTTCAAAGTCAACCACTGAGTTTGTGGCTCCTTCTTTGGTAAGAAGAAGTCTCCATCCTTAAATGAGCTTCCATCTAAAGCCAAGGTTCTCCACGGGCAAAGAGCCAAGAAATCAAACCTGAATCTCCTTCTCCCTGGCTCTGAACAGGCCCTCCAATGCGGGAGGCACCAGGCACAGCCTGTCACGGCGAGCTGAGGAGGAAACGGGCTCTCTGAGCAGTGGGCCCCTTCACCTGCTTCTCTGGGCTGTGGTCAGGGGGTGCCGGCCACCACCACCCCACACTGCCCCAAAGGCATCGGAGGAAGCAGACAGTGGACCACGGAGCAGCCAGGTCACCTACAACTGGGCGCCAAGGGGACTAAGGTCATTCAGGAAGTCCATGACTGCCTCTCTTAATGTCCTGCTGGTGTAGACTTCCTCTTCCTTGGTGTCTCCTGCTGCCTGTCCCACCTTGGATATCCCCGCACACAGGTCCCACAGAATTCACCACCCTTCACAGGATCCAAGAAATGCTGATCCCGTGTCTTAACCCCTTCAGACGCCACCCAGCTAGTCACCCAGAAAGGGGGAGACCCACACTGGTCTCACTCCTTCACACACGCGCCACTGCTTTTCCCTTGTAACGACTAGTTCAAGCGACAAAGCGCCTGAAATTCCCGGCCCCGCCCAGAAAGGCACAGTTTCTCTATGCTCTGTGGCAAATAACCACATCAACAGCTTGTGCCTAAACAGCTGCCCGCTGACGTTGGGTGCTAGTGCAGACACGCAGCAACAGGTACGCCACGTCGAGGGAAACATCGTGGGGGTGAAAAACTTCAATGAAGACATTTTAAGCTACCCAGTTCATTCGTCCGGGAGCTGGAGGAAGGCCTCGCTTACTCATCTTCGGTGGAGGGAGACTCGGCAGTGTTCACGGACCCGCTACGGCTGGGGTGGCCAGATTTAGCAAATACAAATCCGGGCAATGTCTGGGACACACTTACATTAAAAACTGATTCATTGTCTGTTTGCGACTCCGATTTAACCGAGCGGCTTGCATTTTAGCTGGCAGTCCTCGGTGAGAGCCTCGGCAAACAAGACACGGCTGTTCCTTTCTCCCTCCTTGGCCTGTCACCAAGACTGGCTGGTCTTGGGGACAGGTATACCTGGCTTCCCTTGCAAAATCGCCCCTTTCTGACCTGTATTCCCTATTCCCAGTGGCTGCCATTTTTGCCCTCACACGTCCAGCGAGGGGGACGCAGGCAGTGCTGAGCTGCCCTAACACTCGTCCTGGCTGCCTCGGTGACATTCCACCTTGATGGCAGCTGCCTCCAGTGGGGTGACTCAGATCTTCCTAGGCAAGACTTGGCAAGCCCCTTTCTGCTCCATTTCTTATGCCCCCAGCCTGTGCCCCAAACCTCTGCCAACCTCCTGCTATCACCAGGCCTCACCGAGCTCAGGACGGTCTGGACACACAGCAGGTGACCAAGGACGTCGGCCCCCAACCCTGTCTACAGAGCCCAGAGTCCCTGCCCAGAGGCCTCAGGAGAGCTGATGAGTCGGCCATGGCTCTGAATAGGGGTTCCTCCCCAGGCTCTTGGGTCTGCAGGGCACCCCAGGGACCCAGCTTCCTACATGCTGCTCCGTGCATGGTCCTGAGTCCCCGTGAGCCTTGACCTTATCCGGAGAAGGCCTCAGAACGCCCCCTTTACCAGGCCAGAATTGCCCTGGGACTCTCATCTCCCCCACAATACAAAGGTGTTTTCTCTCCCCAGGCTATGGTTTCGGCAATTGCCCAGGGCTTCAGGATTCTGCCCCAAACTGCTCTTGCCCTGGGGGAGGCCCAGAGAGCCACCGGACCCCAGTCTTCAGCCGTACCTCTATGGTTTTCTCACGCCCAGCTCTGCCTTCCCAACCGTGGGCAGCTGTTCCCGAGCGGCCGTGCTGGCTGCCAGCTCCCGTCTGGAAGAGCCCAGGGCCTCCTGCTCAGGTGCACTCAGGCCCTGGCTCCCCCCACCCAGCTTTTATGGAGAATTCCGGGGCTGCCACGGCTGTCCCCGGTGTGCTTAGAGAACGTGTGGTTTGTGGGAGACGCACCGCCAGGCCCAGGGGCAGAAAGAAGCTGCTACCTCCGTCTCCCGCGTCCCCTTGGTTCAGGTGCCACTTAACCGAACCACAAAGCCGAGTTCCCCGTTTGATCGGGTCCCGTGGTCTGCGTTTACAGGGGCTGGCGCGCAGCGGCCCTCCCGGCGTGTCCGCACCCCGGGCTGTGGGCTGCCGCAGGTCGTCATCACCCACACTTGGCCCTGGGGACTCCACTTTCTACCCGCCCTGAGATCCCGGGATGAAAGAAGCCGCAGAGTCATTATGGCTGGCTGTAAAAACCGGGCCAGACGCGTGAATTCCAGTTCTTGGTTCACTCCCCCAAATCTCCACCCCCCAGTGGCAGCCCCCACCCACCTGCCTGATTCCTCCCAACTCTGTAGCGCCCCGTGGAGCTGCTCAAAGGGAAGCAGTCCACATGCCCTGCCCCACTCCAGCCACCAAAAACCTCAGGAACGTCATCCAACAGGCGGCAAGCCCCCAGTAGCCCCCAAGAGGTACCAGGCAGGGAGGGACAAAGGCCCAGCAGCTGACACAGGGAGCGGTGCCATTGCCCACGGCCTTCCTGTGGAAGCTCTTTCTTCTCCTCGCCAGGCTTCCCGTGGGCATGCAGCGGGCGGTGGGCTGGAGGGAGCGAGGTTCCCCTTGCCAGCAAAACCTGGGTGCAGTTATCCCTTACTCTAGGTCTTCTGTGGACCCTCAAGGCTGTCACCCAAAACAGAGAGACAACAGACACCCAGGAGGGTCTTGGGGCTGCAGCTCTGTCCTCAGCCGTGATCTGCTTGCTCCAGCACCCAGCTGCCCAATGTGAGGCCATGTTGGGAGCAAGCCAGGCTAGGGCCCAGTGCCTAGCCCTGTCCCTTCTCTGTGTCCCAGAAGGTGGCCCTGCAGGCACTCACCTGCTTTCTGGAGTGAGCCTGCCCCCTGCAGGACCCAGGCAGGACACGCAAGCCCACGGGAGCACAAAGGTGCACAGGCTCGGCCATCTGGGCAGAGCCTGGGGAGAGGGAGGCGCCCTGTGCTGTAGGCGAGAAAGAGGGTGACAGAGCAGCCAGGAGTCACAGGCATCGCGCCAATTAGCCACCTTTGTGCAGCACCTGCCGTGCGGAGGCGCCTTGCTCTGGAGGTCTGAGGCATGGGGACACCATGAGAATGTTCTGTGGCCGATGTCTTTGTCCCCTAAACACTGGGGCTTAGGAGAAAGCCTCATGTCTCACCACCCCACCCCCACCCCCACCCCGCCACCGAGTTCCCAGGGCTGAACGCTTGACTCTGACGAAGGCCAGCTGCCATCTGGGAAAGCACGTTGGGACACAGCCCCCTCCTGCCGGGCAGCTCCCTGCGCCAGCCTGAGCCTCAGCCTTCAGGTGCGTGCGGCGGGTGCCAACTCGTGCATTATCGCAAAGGTGCAAGAAATGAAGCGTGAGAGCAGCCCTGTGCAGCGAGAGTGTGGGCACAGTGTCTCTTCTCCTTTCGTCACTGTCTCCTCTAGTTCAGAACCTCCTCCAGTAACGCACGGCGCTAGTGTTTTTATTCATAAACGGTCATGGACGAGAGGAAAAAGAGAAGAGTGCCCGCACCGGAGTCCGGGAGCCCAGTCACCGCGTTCGGAGGGAGCTGAGCGAGAGGGGGCAGTGAGCCCGAGCTGGGGCTTCCACGGAGGAGCTGATGGGGCAGGGCCAGGCCCGCAGCGGAGAAGCAGGAGGAGGGGCAGGTTGCTCATTGAGTCCTGTGGTTGTCGGGAGTGGCAGGACCCTGGGGCGGGCCGAGGGGGCACTGAGGCCCGGGTGCCCATCGTCTCTGCAGGAAGCAGGGAGGCAGCGGGCCAGGGCTGGGCCAGTCGTCTCGGGCCCCGTTCTCCCCAAAGCAGCCCTGCGCTGGCGGCCTGCCCCAGCGCCCTCCATACCTCTCATCTGCGTCTCCCCATTAGCTGACTCCACTAGAGCCGTTGCTCCCGTATTACTGGACGCCCTTTGAGGCGCTGAACTAGCTCACGTGCCCCTGCATGGCTCTGGCTCGCCCCAGCCGTCCGTGAGCCGCCCGTGCACCGCCCCTCCGTGTTTGCGATGATTGCACCTGTGCGCTGGTGGCGTGCTCAGGTGTCTGCGTCCTTCCCCACCGCGAGCTCCCTGGGCTGGGCTTATCGGGGTGACCTGCTCACCCACAGCCCCAAATCGGGGTCTTGGCACGTGCCACCCACAGAAAACAGGCCAGAATCAAAAGTACGTTTGCAAAAAGGCAGGAAATTTTATTGACGTATCTTTTCTTTTTAGCGAAGAAGCTAAGAAATCAGAGCAGCCAGGTCAGGAAGAAAAGGAAGCCAATTGAGAGAGAAGAGTGAGGAGCCCCCACCCTAGAGAATGGGGGGCCGGGGCCAGGGAACGGAGTGACCCAGCTTCCCGCGGTCCCTCCCTCTCTCCCGCAGGGAACTTCAGCCCTGTCCTCCTCTGGATACCGAAGACACAGGGAGGGGACTCCACACAGATTTAAGACCGACGACAGGCATCCTAAGGGCGGCGAGCAGAAGCGGGGAGAGTAGCAGTAGGGCTGGTGGCGCTTCCACTGGCGCTGGTGCTGGCGCTGGCGCTTCCACTGGCACTTCCACTGGCACTTCCACTGGCGCCGGTGCTGGTGCTGGTTCTGATGGTTGCTGGACAACAAGGAGGCAAGAGATGCTCAGCCTGGAGATCATCACCACAGACCAGCTCAGAGCTCCCAGGAGGGCCCCAAACCCCCTCACTGGTCAGGTGAGAGGTTAGTTAATAGGGACTCTGTGTGATTGCCCCCAAAGCTGCCTCCCTCCAAGACAGCCCAGTGGCACTCTGGGGCAGGGCCAACTATATTGAAAGGGAAACAGGTGAGCAAATGACCACTTTCACCAGAACGCCCTTGGCCCTGCACGGGGAGTCCAGCACTGCCTCCCTCCCCACCTCTCCACCCCTGGGGGCAGTGAGCAGGAACTTCTCCCGCCAGTGGGTCCTTACCTCCTGTGGAGGGGAAGCCAGTCATCCTGGAAGAGAGAGAGGAGAGAGGCAGCTGTGAGCAGGGAGACCACTGACGGCAGCTGCTTTCCTGTCCTCGGAGGGAACACCTCGGACCGTCATCCAGGGCCCCGAGTTGGGCTTTTTCACCTAACTGTGCCCTCGGCCCCCAGGCAGCAGCATCAGACACCTGCCACGTCTGTCTGTCTGTCTGTCTGTCTGAGGCCTCAGGAGAAGAGAGGATTGGCTCCAAATGCAGGGCATCTGCCGGAAGTGTCGTCTGCCCTCGGGTCCCATAGCCATCCCGCCCTGAGCCCACAAGCGTGCTGATCTCTACAAGTGGTCTGAAGGCAGTTAAATCGCCATTTCACTAGCTCTGTTGGCCAAGCGAATGTGAGTGTTTCTCCAGAATGAGATGTTCTCTCCATGGCCCCATTTCTGCCAGTCCAGCTCAGAGGCCTGAGTTAGACTGTCCCAAGGGACTGACTCTGCAGCCTGCCGAGGAAACACCCCCACAGTCCGACTCAAGAGAACAGGGGAGCTCTGACCCCGGATCTTCACCCAGGCCGTTCAAGCTCAGGCAGGTCCCCTCCCGTCCAGGACTCGAGGGCCTGGTCCCTGAGACACCGCCTGCTCTGCCATCCGAGGGGCCTGCAATCGCTTGCCCAAGAGAGAGGCTGGTGAGGACCTACTTGGCATCCTGGCCCTCAAGCAGGCTGCGGTAGGTGGCGATCTCCTGCTCCAGCCGCGTCTTGATGTCCATGAGCTGCTGGTACTCCAGGTTCTGCCGCTCGGTGTCGGCACGCATGTCGCTCAGCTGGGCTTCCATACCGCCGATCAGGTCCTGGATCTGCGCCAGCTGCATGGCGTAGCGGCACTCCGTGTCTGCCACTGAGCTCTCCAGCCCGGCTTTCTGGTGAGGCAATAGGCAAGTCACGAGGGGAGCCAGACCCAGGGGAGACCTGGCGGGGGCGGCCGCTGGCCCGGGGGCGACAGCTGTACCATGCTGAGCTGGGACTGCAGCTCGATCTCCAGGCCCTGGAGCGTGCGCCTGAGCTCTGTGATCTCCGTCTTGCTGGTCTGAATCATGGCCGTGTTGGACGACACCTCCTTGTTCAGCTCCGCGCTCTGAAATTCAAGCGAGAAGAAGGTGACGCAGAAGCTCAGGTGGGAGCCTAGGCAGCCCCTGGCTCCGCGGGGTGAGAGCGCCGGGCACCTGGTGGTTGAACCACTCCTCGGCATCGCGGCGGTTCTTCTCAGCCATGGCCTCGTACTGCTCCCTCATCTCCGCCAGCACGCGGGTCAGGTCGATGCCCGGGGTGGCGTCCATCTCCACGTTGACCTGTCCTACCACCTGGCTGTTGAGCTCCTTCATCTCCTGTGCAGAAGGGAAAGGAAGAAGTATGAAGCTCCTCATCTTTCCTGGCCCTGGATGCTACCGGAGTGTTCTGGAAAGCCCCCCTAGGTCCCGCAGTGGAGGGCTGCGTCTGGCCACAGCCCTGGGGTCCCCGTGGCCTCTCTCACCTCCTCGTGGTTCTTCTTCATGTAGGCCAGCTCCTCGTTCAGGCTCTCGATCTGCATCTCCAGGTCAGTCTTGCCCAGGGTCAGCTCGTCCAGCACCCTGCGCAGGCCGTTGATGTCGGCCTCCACGCTCTGGCGCAGGGCCAGCTCGTTCTCGTACCTGAAGGATTTTTTTTTTAATTGAAAAAGCAACACAGGTGATATTAGACACCACCACCCCCCCGCCTCTGCAGTGGACTCTTCTCCAGAACTCTAGTCACTCCTGGGAAGCTCTCATTTCATTGTGCAGATGAGCATTTGTCTAAAATAAGAGACTGCTAGGGGAGGAGAATGAGAAAAAGCAAACTCACTTGAGCCTGAAGTCATCCGCAGCCAGCCTAGAATTATCGATCTCCAGGATGACCCGGTTGTTCTCGATGGTGGCCGCCAGGATCTGCAAAACACAGAAGGTGGCCGCTGGAGGCCCCAGGAGCTTGGGGACGAGGACTGAGAAAGCACGGGCAGGACTGGCTGTCGTCACACTCTCAGACCACGTGAGCTGGGCCTCGGTTCCTTTTCTGTAAAGTGAGGGGCCAGCCGGGTCCCCGAAGTTTATTCTAGCATTCATGTCCTGCATTCCGGTCATGATAGGGGAGACCAGGAGCTGCACTGCAGGGAGACGACCCCTCCAAGAACATCCTTGGATGGTCGGGTCTCCACGGTCTCAGCCTAGCAACCTCTCTAGGCCACTGTCTTGACAGCCCTCTCCTTTGGGTCTGGAGGAAGCCAACCTGGCTACACAGAGTTCGTCACTGCACCAGAACTGGTCTGCCGTCTGCGCAGAGGAAAAATCCAACACATATACCCATCCATCTGAGTATATGCAATAAAAGCGTTGGCATGAATACTAACAACAATAAAATAAAGAATGAAAGAATTCCATCCATACTGCGTCTGCTGGTCCCCTAGGGTACGACTACGTTTCCTGGTCTTCCCAGCTCTGCCCTACACAGAATGTCAATTCTCCTTGACAGTCAAGGGCTCACCTTGTCCCGGAGCTCCTGGATGGTCTTGTAGTATTGGCTGTAGTCACGCTCCGGGCTGGCGGGGGTCTGCTTCTGGTGCCAGTCACGGATCTTGACCTCCAGGTCGGTGTTGGCCTCCTCCAGGGCACGCACCTTCTCCAGGTAGGAAGCCAGGCGGTCGTTGAGGTTCTGCATGGTGATCTTCTCATTGCCAGAGAGGAGGCCGCCATCACCACCACCAAAGTCACCAAAGCCACCGCCGAAACTCCCACCGAAGCCACCTCCAAAGCCTCCAGCAAAACCACCACCAGCCCCTCCACCGAAGCCGCAGCTCATGCCGCCCCCGTAGCCCCCGGCTGATCCCCCAGAGACAAATCGGCTGGAACAGGCAGAGACGCTACGGCCTCCTCCCAGCTGGCAAGAGCCACCCCCGAAACCACCTCCATAGCTGACAGAGGAGCATTGCAGGCGGCTGCTCATGATGAGAGCGAATGGAGAGCAGGTGCAGGCAGGAGCTTGGCTTGGCCTGGGCTGAGGACTGCGGCTCATCCCCAGTGGGTGCTTTTTATACACCCTCCACGGGGGTTGGACAGTCGTCCCATCCGCTCCCCTCCCTCCCCACCCTCTGGCCGGTGCCAGCTGCGCCTCTTTGTTTCCCACAAGCCCAGTTGCCTCTGCTCTCCAAGGTGGGTTGTGCCTTTTGGGGGTGGGGGAAGAACTGGCTTTTTTTTTTTTTAATCCTTAACAAAAGGGATGATTCAGAGGAAACGGTGTTCTGCTTGAGACTACCCTTTGACAGCTGAATTCTGTCTCACCTCTCGGCTGCAGGAACTCGCTCCCAGAGGCTCTCGGCCCCGCCCGATATCGGAATGGGCACCCAGGCGCGGAGGCTTCGCTGGCACCGCTTCGGAAGGGAGAGGTGGCTGCAAAGTGGCCCGGTGCTCCGCGAGGCCACCGCAGCCCTTGGCCTCCCTCTTCTATTTCTAAAGCTCCTGAACAGAATGTTCTGCATCCGCCTCAGCACTGCCTCTGCCCCAGTGCTCACAGCAACTCGGACAAACGTTAGAATCCACTGTAGAATCAACTACCTTGAAAGTGTTTAGACTAAGAGGAAAGTGGCTCCAAGGCCATCGGATAAAGTCCCGGTGTCAAGGAACCTTAGGGACCAGCCAACACAGCTGGGGAAACTGAGGCACGGAAAGAGGAAGTGACCCTGTGCAGTGTAAGAGATCATACTCTCAGATCCCTCACCACATGCAGGCACTGGGCCAAGAGCTTCATACTAGTGACTGTGAAGTTTAATCTTTGCAGCAGCCCAGCCAGGTGGGCCTACTGTTCTCCCCGATTTATACACGAGGACACTGAGCCTGAAGGGCAGAGTCAGGACCGAACCCCAGGTCTGGTTCTGCCTAACACTAAGGCTCATTTCTTAGGTATAGCTTTCATATAATAAAATGTGCAAATCATGTCTAGTTTAATGCATATTCACTTCTGCATAAGCACATGTCCACCTATGCAAGTGTGTATCTGCCTGTGCAAGCACACAACCTCCTGTGTGAGCACATGTCTGCCTGTGTGAGTACATGTCCGCCTGTGCAAGCACGTGTCTGCCTGTGCAAGTGTGCATCTGCCTATGCAAGCATGTGTCTGCCTGTGCAATGTGTGTCTGCCTATGCAAACATGTGCACCTGTGCAAGCGTGTGTACACCTGTGTCTGCCTGTGTAACTGTGTGTCCTCCTGTGCAAGTGTGTGTATACCTGTATAAGCATGTATCCAGCTATGCAAGCATGTGTCCACTTGTGTAAACATGTGTTTGCCTGTGCACGCATGTGTCCACTTGTGCAAGTGTGTGTCTGCCTATGCAAACATGTGTACCTGTACAAGCGTGTGTACATCTGTGTCTGCCTGTGTAACTGTGTGTCCTCCTGTGCAAGCATGTGTCCACCTGTATAAGCATGTATCCAGCTATGCAAGCATGTGTCCACTTGTGTAAACATGTGTTTGCCTGTGCAAGCATGTGGCCACCTGTGCAAGCATGTGTCTGCCTGTGCAAGCATGCGTTGGCCGGAACATTTTCAGCCTCCTTGCTAAAGCTCCTTGTGCCTTCCCCAATCCACAGCCCACACCCCACACCCCCATGGCAACCACATTCCAACTTCTGTCACCATAGATCAAATCTGAGGTTCTCAGCCCTGGGGCTATTTTGCTCCCTGCGGGATACTTGACAATGTCCAGAAACATTCCGTGGTCACGATGGGAGGACGCTCCCGTTACCTGAAGGACAGCGGCAAGGGGTACCGTTAAACGCCCTACTGTGCACAGGACAGCCCCCACAACAAAGAATTCTCCCACCCAGACGGTCAACCGTGTCGAGGCAGAGAAGCCTGGGGCAGCCCGACCCTGGGTCCCGTGAGCCCCTTACGCCAGCTGCCCTGGCTGCACAGCCAAGCCTGGGACGAGGGCCCGCAGCACCTCAGCAGGGCCGCCGCTGGCCCCCCGACCACGTGACATCCGTCTCAGCTTGCGAGCGTTTCAGCAAGGGGCCACACTGGGGGATGTGACTCGGGGCCTGGTACCAGGGTCCCTCTCAAGAAGTGGCCGAAACCCAGCTGCTGCCCAGTAGGGCCCTGCCAGAGGGCCCTCGCCGCTCAGCCTGGAAGAGAAGGGCCTTGAGGTGCCCCCTCAGAGCCCGGACTAGAAGAAGAAGGTTCCAGGTCCGAGAATGGAGCACCCTGGACTAAAGATCCCGGCCCAGCTCCCCAGGGGGGCCAGGGCTGCCGTGAATGAGCTCTCGGGAGCAGCCTTCCGGGCCATCCCAGCCAGAGGGTCGGGATGGGACCGGACCAGAGGCTGGGTGACACAGGTCAGAGGTTATCCTGGAAACCCTCGGCTGATTCAGCAAGCAAGACCAGAGAAGAGGGCTCTGAGTCAGGGCTTTCTCACCCTTTGTTTTCTGCAGGCAGAAAAGCTGGCCTGCCTCCTGCCCAGCGGGTGTCAGCACCAGGGAGAGAGCCAGGAAGTGCTGGGGGTGCTCCAAGACTGCTGTGAGCCCAGGGATTCACGCTGACCCCTGACCTGGCCCGGCCCTCCTGCCCCAAACTGATGGCTCAGCTCTCCCTCTGAAAAGGTCTGGATTCAGCCCGAAGCAGGGGCTCTGGCTCTCTCAGCGGAGGATCAAAACTGACAAGCAGGTGATTAATGGAACCTGCCTGCCTGGAGTGACGGTTCTCCCGGGGCTGCTGAGCAGGTTCTGGCCAACGCCTCTCCGAGGACAATACCGGAGATCCTGCAAAGCCCCAGCAGTACAAACAGGGGGTGGCCATGACCTGGGTTTCTCACAGGGTCAAGGCATGGCCCCGCCCCTCCCCACCCCACCAGGGCCTTGTAGCCTTGACACGGGAATGCTGTCTTCTGACCCACAGTGAACCCCAGGGCCCACAGGTCTGGGGGAACTTCCCCTGGGGGAAGCTGGGCAGAAGCCCACCCTGGGGACCCAGTTTTCCTTCTGCTTGTCTGGTTTTGATTGGGGCAGGACAGAGTGCTGGGCTGAAGCACTGCTTGCTGGTCTTGAGCTTTCTGTTTTGCTTTCTTTCTTGTTTTTTTTAATAGGATAAATTCTAGGACTTTCCTCACTCATACTTTTTTTTAAGATTATATTTCTTTATTTTTAGACAGAGAGGAAGGGAGGGAGGGAGAGAAACATCAATGTGTGGTTGCCTCTCGCATGCCTCCCCCCACTGGGGACCTGGCCTATCCCGCAACCCAGGCATGTGCCCTGACTGGGAATCGAACCAGCGACCCTTTGGTTTGCAGCCCGCACTCAATCCACTGAGCCACACCAGCCAGGGCTCTGCTTTGCTTTCTGGTGAATCACATCAAATTCAGGCCCTTGCCCAGTAAGTTTCCAGGGAAGGGGAGGGCAGCCTGCATTCTCGAGCACCCCTTGGAAACGAGGCTGCACTTAACGCTGTCGTTGAGTCCACACAAGAACCAGAGAGGGTGTTTACCGGCCCCACGTTACAGATGAGGCAGCTGAGGCCCAAGGAGGTGAAGCCACTGGGCCAAGGTCACCAGGAAGTCAAGATTTAAACTTGGCCTCTGGCTCTGTCTACTCCACCTGTTGTTGTCTTAGAGACTTACTGTGAACTCCACATATGGTCTCTGGGTGGTCCATTCTATGTGAGTTAAAAGAAAATAAAATAACCCTGGCTAAGGTTTCTTGAGCAATGTGACCCTCATGCTGAAGAGGACCCACCGTGGCCTCCAAGGTCTTATCTGGAGACGGCGGTGGCAATGTATGCTTCTGCGGAAGACGAGGAAGACGAGCTGTCTTTTCGGGAAGGAGCCATCGTTTGTGTCAGCGAGAAGAACGACGATGGGATAGTCAGGACCTTTCAGACCACCGCAGGGCCCTGGGACTCCCCTCCAGCAAAGGGAAGGATACAAACAATATAAAAACCACTCATACTTTTTTTCTCTGTTTATCCCTTGGTATTAAAACAAACAAGCAAGTTGAGTGTGAAAAAAAAAAACCCCACTGTACTTGCATGACTTCTTTGGGTCCTCAGAACAACTCGACTATTTTTTTAAAGATTTTATTTATTTATTTATTTATGTATTTATTTATTTATTTATTTAGAGACAGAGGGGAAGAAAGGGAGAGAAACGTGGATGTGAGCCAGAAATGTCAACCAGGTGCCTCTCGCACACACCCAACCGGGGACCAGGCCCGAAACCCAGGCATGTGCCCTGACCAGGAATCGAAATGGTGACCTTTCGGTTTGCAGGGCGACGCCCAACCACCTGAGCCACACCGGTCTGGGCTCCACTATTTTTAGCATACCATTTTTTTTTCAGATGTGGAAACTGAGGCCCAGAGAGGTTAAATACATTGCCCAAACTCGATTGTATCAGAGCCAAGATTTAAGCCTCTGGCCCCACGGTCTGTGCCCGTAACCACTGCCTGGTGAATCCCTTTCAGGCCAAGGTTAGCGCCATCCTACCCTAACAGGGGTGTCTGCTGCTGACCTCTCTGTTCTCAGGCCCTCCCCTCCCCCCAGGCCTGGCTGTCTGATGGTTCTGCTTCCCACAGTGGCTAACCCCGGGCGGCTGCAGGCCCGATGGTCCAGCCTCCCAGCCGTCGACCTTTGGCGTGAGCCCCAAACCTCGGGGTTTGTGGGGGCACTCACAACGCCTAATGTCAGAGGCAGAATTATTGTAGGAACTTTCCCGCCCTTGTTTCACAGGCGGGGAAACTGAGGCCCAGAAGGCCAAGAGCCAGGGCAGTGGGACACGAGAAGAAAGGCCTGGACTTAGAGCTCAACTGCCAGCTCATTGTGGGCCTTCCGCTGAAATGGCCTCTATGTTTCCCTCAGCACTTTTCTTTCTGAGTCTCCGGTTCCCGTGGCCTCCACGGTCACCAGATTGCTCAGCTGCACAGCCGAGGCTTACACCCTGTCCCCAAGCTCCGAATCCGGGTCCCTTGTTTGGATCTTGGGTCAGGCCCCTCTCTCCCTGGGCTCCAAGGGTCCTGGAGCCCCAAAAG